TGGGGTTGATCTCCGATTTTTAGGGGTCATTTGACTCTTCAGCAAGGGTTATTTACCCAGAGATGGGTTCATTTTTATTGAGGGGATGGTTAGCAGCTTGCAGGCGCGTCCCGAGACGCGCCAATTATTGCTTAATTTTTTGAGAACATTTAGTCCGGTAAAAAATTCCGCACAATGCAGCTACTGGGCATATTTTTTTTATGAAGATTTTTACGTGGATTTACTCAATACAAATTTGCTTTATTAATTATGTTAAATTCTTATGAACCCTCAACCCATCTTCGGAACGAAAGCAGTCCCGGTTTAATGGATCGTTTTTGTTGTTGCGTGGACATCCCATAATATAAAATCAATTTCGATCATCATAAATGCCGATAAACCCTTAACCAAATCTATGAGCAGATATCGTCAATATCATTCAGATAGTAAATAATTGTTAATACCCTGGGTATTTGGGTACCCTCGTCAATTCACCATACTTTTTAAAACGTTAATCATACCCAACTACAAGGCACCCATGAAGAATCAAATGGCAGAGAATATTTCCACCCGGATGGGAAAATGGTCACGCAGCATTCGACGACTCTCAGAGCATTTTTTGAAAGTTTTCTTTTCATGGGTATATGGATCAGAGTTTAAAATTTGAAATCCAAGTTTTATGGAACCAACCGTTTAATAGACTCAGTTCCTTTTTTATGAAAAAGTAATGCACGCAGAAGATTGGAGATTAGCCTTTGCTCACGACTCGCTCAGGTCTTCGAATACGTGTCTGGATCGACGAGAGAATTACAGTACAAACCTAGCAGCAAATCGCATTCCTTCACGATTTCAATAACAGAACCCTGCCGGAGAATTGCCAAAAGAAAAATGCACCTTTTAATGTCCTTTTTGCAATATTGAGTACCAATATGTTTTCTCTTGGTTTACGATTCAATCACTCGAATAGGATTTTTTAAAGATTAGTCGGAATTCCTACCAAAATGAACTTTGGAGTAGTACGCTCACTGATCGTGTGTGTCAATACTGTTCAAAGAAAAATAATTTCTAAACTACGAGGCTCTTTTCAAAAATATTTTTTCTGAATATTCAAAGGTCAAAAATATTTTGCCAAAGAGGGACACCAGCACATTTTAAAGAATCCTGGAGTAAGAAAATGTTAAATATTGAACATGATAATTGTGTCATAGATAATTTGATTACGCAACAGTCCATAGAACCAGTAGATAATACCCTAAACTTAATGACGCTGGTTATTTTCGAACGCGGGAAAAAACTGGGCTTGGCAACATTTTGAAACTTCTCGTTTCGGGTGGAGTCGGTCTGGCAAAACACCGTACTGAAGTTGTGATGCAAGACAAGAGAAGCTTTCTTTTCTTTTCTAAAAAAGAAAAACCCAAGATTGCCCGTTTTTTTAATGGCGTTCCACTTATTTCCCGACCTGAGGGATTTTCTCAAATTCCCTGTCATTCGATAGCAACAGCGTTTTTACTGAAAGTCCGAACTATTAGTTTTTTTTGTAAAATTATTTATTATTCTTCTAGGAAGGGCGTGCAGAACGGGGACAGGAAAAACCACATGAACGCATGTAGGCCATATATGTTTGAAATGTTTTTTTTTTTCAAAGTCAGGAGTAATTTTTTCTTTTATTTCCCACGACGGTTCTTTTGATGGAAGTGGAATGAAAGTAAGATAAATTCAAGTTTAAAAATTGGTAATTTTGGAAGGGACGCTGGGGCTGATTAAAATATGACGAAATTTCTGAAAGTGTGATTACTCCAAATTTTCAAGAGATATCACAATTTAGAGATGCATGTTATTTATGTTTACGCTTCGTGAAGAATATTCTTGTCATGTTTATAAAGAGCAATTATCGATTTTGATGCATTGGAGGTGTTGTAATCAAGAAAAATACATCACTGTAAACATTACATTAAATCTGGAAAGTTATACTCATTTTTTGCGTGGTTGTGATTGGTAGATGGAAAATTTGTGAGCAGAAACCCATGTACTTTATATTATTTCACGACAAATCTTCGCATTTTTCTTGGCTTTGCATTTTTAAACATATACTGTTCTACATATACTTCGAGTGTCTCCGAGGATATTCTCTTAATGAAGCTGCACTATATGCGTAAATTAAACTGATTATTCCGCCTGCATATTTAATTTTAAAACGCGACGAAAAACTGAGACATCGAACTAATTCCGAGTCTCAACATTCAAAAACTTTCGCGTGAGTCGAATCAGTCGTTGAATCTATTCAAGAAAAAAATCTTCATGATGTTCCTTCCTGGGTTTTCGGAAACTCTAGTTGCCTCTCTGTATCTTGATCAGCATGGGTTCCTTTTCAATCTACCAGACGAGGAAGTACAGTTAGTTCCTGAGCCCAGCAGTAAAAGACTTGGGGCCGGGGCGTGACCCGGCACATTTCATGCGCTTCGTTCCAAGAAAAAAAATAAAGGGAACCAATCAATTTATTTTTTTCCAAAGCACGATTCCTTATTTATATACAAAACACCTTGCCGTGGGTAAATATTTTCAAATGCACAAAAAGCAGAATTATTTTTATAGAAAAGCTGGTCGCAAAAGAAGCTGATCGAAGCTCGGTTTCAGACCAGGCATTCAACGCCCTACATACGCAAGAAACTGCATCTTCAGCATTTTATTCAACTGTGTGTCTAATGCGGGGCAAAATATTTTTACTTTTCTGTCAAAAGTGTGATTTGAAACATGCTTTAGTGGAGTGTTTGAAAGGATAAAGTCAGTGCCTTAGGGAAAAAATGGACGAGGAGAAGAGAGACGATGGTGGGGCGATTCGAATGAACAAAAGCGTGACGTTGTTGAATGGAGTGACCATCATTGTTGGATGCATCATTGGAAGTGGGATTTTCGTGTCTCCTTCGGGAGTCTACACCGATGTTGGTGAGTTCTTAAGAAAATTATTTAGAATCTTATTTTTTTTAATCGAAAAATTTTGATCGACAGCTTGAAAAAATATTTGCCCGCCAATTCCTACTTACTGATATTCGCAGACATGGCCAATGAAGATCCGATCTTTCAAAGAAATATTGATGATTCCAGTGCCCAGGAATCCAGAAAAAATCACGCTGATTAAATGAGAAATTCGTTAAAGTTATTCTTCAAAATTACATTAGGATATTTAAAATGCGCGAAGGAAGCCATATTGTCTGTTTCGGCAGGAAATTCGAATCATATCTGCAGAAACGCTCTGTTAAACAAAAAAAATTTGTCAGTAGACCTCAGGGGTGTTCAAAACACTTACGTTTAATTAACTCCAGGTTGCCAAAGGCCTAAGTCGGGAAAAATCTAGGTGCAGAAAATCCCATATGGTCTCAAGAAATCCCCAATGTTAATTCTATGCTTAGAGTGCATGAAAAACACCACCCAGAGGTATTTGTAAAAAATTTTTCATCCAAAATTTTCTGCAGGATCATAAAAAAATATTGAACTTTTCCTGACTTACGCCTTGGTTCAAGAATCGTATTTTTTTTAATTTGCAGCCCTCATGGGAACAACATTTTGCAAAAATATCCCGACTTTGCCACACAAGGGTTACGGTCCAGAAGATTGCCAATTTAACTTTCCTATGATTCCCCGAAAAATGTTGGTTTCCCTGACTAAAAAAAAGCTCACCTATCGTCGATTTTTTCTGGATCCCTCTTTAAATTTGTCCTACAGTAATTTGTTTTCTGCAAGCAATAACACAATTGTACCAGAAAATAGGCAAAACAAAACTTCTAATTGCAAAAAGTGTTGAAATTTTGCAGGCGGATCCCCGTTGATGGCCCTGATCGTGTGGGTCGTCTGCGGTCTGATCTCCATGATCGGCGCCCAATGCTACGCCGAACTGGGCACCATGATCACGAAAAGCGGCGGCGACTATTCCTACATCCTGGTGGCATTTGGCCCATTCCCCGCATTCCTCAAACTATGGGTGGAACTCATCATCATCCGACCCGCCATACAAACAGTGGTGGCTCTCACGTTCGCCGAGTACGCCACAAAGCCGTTCTTTGCTGACTGCGAGGCGCCTGCGAATGCCAACCGACTCCTTGCTGCTGCTTGCCTGTGTAAATATCTCTTAAATAACTCTTTCTTCTTATATTTTGTATATTTTTTATTTTATT